AAAAAAAAATCTAAGTGTTTTAATAATTTTAACAATGAATTCCTACAATTTAATAGCTAATTTTAATATAAGTTAATTCTAAAAATTAAATTTTAACATAAAGATAACCAGAAATTATAATTTCAAATTAATTGTGTTGTTGTAAACTTTTAACAGTTTGAAATTTATATATTTTAATTTATTAAACGCAGCAACATACTATACAAAAATATTTAAAACTTTAGATAGGTAACTACGATTTTAAAACAAAAAGTCACAAAAAAGCTTTAATAAAGAATCGTAACATCAGCCCAAAAAATGGTGTGAGAAAATTAATTAGTGATTTTAAGAATTTTAAGGTTGTTAGAATGCTAAAGTTATCAATCATCTTTTAACCAATACTCTCGAAAAGAAACCTTATTCCTCCACAAAAACATTTTTTTTATATGCATACGCTATAATTTTTATTAATGAATAATCTATTTCTATTCACATATCATTGTATATGTCCAACAATTTGCTCCAAATGCTTAATTTTTTAATCTAGATAATTATTTAGTACAACAATAATTTTTTGTAATATTAAATATACAAATAATCAATAAGCTAGAAATATTGTATATTTTACTATTGTATATTTTACTATGTTAATTTTTAAATTCACGTAAAGTATGGACAATCTCTAATTTAAAATACTATAGTGGAACAAACAATACAGTTACTTACTAGGAATCAAATTCTATAATAAATTAAAAACCAGTACAATTTATTTCTGAATGGTGAATTTTAAATACGAACAAGTTCTTTTCGTGATAATTTATGTTTTCTATGTTTGAGTCGGTAACATTTACATGTATATCTTATGGTAATAAAAGTAACATGGTTGTTTGGCAAAAAAAAACGTAATATGGTAACCAACAAATAATAAGGGACATTTACAAAAATACCACTTTTAATATTCATTTGTAAAAATACCACTAATTATGATTTTTTAGAATTTAAATCTTAAAATTCTGAACCCTAAAAAATCTTTTGACCCCTAAAGCCCCAAAAACCCTCAAAATTAAACCCTAATACAATATAGTTAACCAAAACATAAATGATATAACGAATAAATAATTTTGAAAAAGGTGACATTTTTGGAAAGATTATAAAAATATAGTATTTTTGTAAAGTGGCACTTGAAAAATTGTATTTTTTTAAATTTCTCAAATAATAACACTAATTAATGTTTCTTAGAACTAAGTAAAACCATAGTGAATGAGACTGTTGCTACGTTTACTGCGTTCCTACCGCCCTAGACGCGGTTAACAAAGCAACAATATTTACTTTCTTTTTTTAACATATATATTGATGATCTTTATCGATTGTGAAAGAAAGCAATGTGTGGT